CTGGTCCTCAGGTCTGTTTCTTTGCCAGTACCATGCTGTTTTTATCACAGTATAGTTTCAAGTTGGGGGTTGTAATACCCTCTTCCATGTCTCTTTTACCTAGAATTGCTTTTGCTATTCTGGGTCTCTTCTTGTTCCAAATGAATTTTAGACATTATATTCTAATTGAATATGTAGGTCCCATAATTTTACTTCATGTAAGAAATTTAAATATGTGCAATCTCTTTGATACCACTTGGAAAATTTGTATAATTAAATTTCTCAGGTATAATTTATGCATCTGCAAGATCCATTCAATATTTAATCAAGATTCAGGATTTTAATTCCTTGAATCTTTCTTATAAGACAGATGGACAACCTTACTTTGGGCTTGAAAAAATAGCCTCAACAGTAGACTAGCACTTTGGAATTATGCTGCTGCTTCTAATCCGATTGAAAGAGTAATAGGTCAGGTCAAGTATGGGAACTTCATCTACCTCCCTAGTTTACCACACTTAACAAGAAATCCCTTTCTCTTCTCATTAGGGAAGTAGAGGCAGTCTACTCTCAGTTTACTGGCCTAGTAGATTTTGCAGAAAATCTCTGAATTACTGGCTGAATTTTTCAGAAAAACTAATTGAAGCAGTGAGTTTTATTGTTTAGGAATGAGAGCTTCTGACAGTGGGAGAAGCTGAGAGGCAGAAGCTAATATGCAAATTTAGGAAATAAGGTTCAGTTTTAGTTACACATTCTCCAGTGTGAAATATTCTCCTACCATTGCTATTTATTAGGGTTCTCCAGAGAAACAGAACCAATGTGATAGACAGACAGACAGATGAGAAGAAATTTTTTAGGATAACTGGTTCATGAAATTATAGAGGCTAAGTTCTATGATAAGCCATCTGAAAGGCAGGCAACCAGGGAAGCTGATTGTGTAACTCTCAGTCCAAGGTCTAAACCCTGGGAAGTGGATGGGCCAATGGCACAGGTCCTGGAATTCAAAGACCTGAGAACCTGAGGTTCTAATGTTAAGGCAAGAGAAAAGGGTATTCCAGCCCCAGAAGAGAGGGAGAATCTATCTTTTCTCTGCCTTTTTTTTTTTCCTATCCAGACCTTCAGCCAATTGGATGGTGTCTGGCCTCATAGGATGAGGAAGTCTTCTTTAGTCCACTAAATTCAAATGCCAATGTCTTCTGGAAACACGCTCATAGACAAGCCCAGAAATGATACTTTCCTATCTGGGTATCACTTAACTCAGTCATATTGACACACTGAAAATTAATCATCCCACTGAGTGACTCTAAGGGACAAAATGCTTGAATTTTCAAAAAAAAATTTTCTTTTTTTTCCCTACTGGGGATTGAGCCCTTGGCTTTTACACTGAGCAACATCCCTAGCCTTTCTATATCTCTATCTCTATTCTGAGACAGGGTGCACTAAGTTGATTAGGCTGGGCTTGAACCTGTGATCCTGCTGCTGCAGTCTCTCACAGTGCTGGGATTACAGGCATGCACAACCACATCTGGCTAAATATACAGTTGATTTAAAAAATGGTGATCTACCTTCTGTGTGGCAAGAACTTTAGATTACTGTTCTAGTATGAGGAAGTATTTTTCTTCACTCCAAGACATTCTTAGGTCCAGGAGTTAGTCTTTTATTGAGTATGTAGTATTTATCATTATTAGATACTGTGCAGGTGGAGGGAAAAGTGGGGAGGAGGTAAGGATAAAAAATGACAAGACCTACTTCCTAGATATAAGTAGCTTACAATTTAGTCAGCAAAATAGTTGCAACTATATTAGGAATTTTTCATCTTGTGGAACTTCTGTTATTTGAAGCCAGTAGAGAGAATGGCTTTGCTATGTTGCCAATGTTTGGACATTACTTTTAGTGTACAACGGTTCTCACGGATACAAAGTATTGTGCAGCCCACCATTGTTGAAAAAGAAAAAAAAAGTGCTTCAAGTTGGTAGTATATGGATGTCTTTAAAAGTACTGGTTTTGGAGTAGAGCAGATCACTGGGCCTGAATCCCAGATCTGCAATTAGTGGCTGATGTGAAACCAGATGAATTAACTTCTCTATACCTCATTTTTCTCTGTTTATGAAAGCAACATCTCATTTAGCTGATATATGAATTACATATACAAATACATGGAAAACCATTAACTTAGTGCCTGGTACATTAAAGGTGATTAATAAATGTAAGTTATTACTATTATTTCATGTTCTCCCGGGGGAGGCAAAACCCATGGGAAATGGATTTGAAAACACAGACAATAACTTACAAATGATAATGTACCAGTAAATACCATGGGAAGAGCTATATGTTTTGCAGCAATAAAATAATGGCCTCTAAGAAAATCCAAAACATGTTTTCATTACTTCTAAACCTTCTTGCATAGTCTCAGGTGGATGTCTAGATTATTTCCGGCTGTGAATTTAATCCTATGAATTTCTTGGAATTCAGCATTTAAGATTCAAAGGTAAACAACAGATTGGGCAAGGCCCTAGAGAAAAAAGGCAGTTTTAGTGCTGGTGTCTGGTTTATACTTAAGTGATTAAGAATTTCCCTTGACAGCTTGTAGTGGGAGTGGTTCTCTTGCAAAATTCCAAGGGAAATGTTCTCTGGACAGTCTTACTTGTCTTTGGGCCACCATCTCCTACATATTTTAATTTTAAAGGTCCCTGCCTCAAGCTTTATTTTTCCCAGATGTCTGATGTCAAAAATCTTACAAAGTTTTTCACTTTAGTAATCTCTTTTCTTTACCAGGTGAAATGAAAATATCCCTGATGTTGGTCAACCTCTACTGTCCTCCTCATTGTGTAGTATGGCTACTACCTACTTAACTAAACCCCTGAGTCTGGAACTGTCTTGTTTGGATCTTTGGATCTCTGTATCCTGTGGCTCTATCTACTTTTCAGTTTTGTTTGTAAATTTCTCCAGGACATAAAGGGTCAAAAGACCTTGTAGAATCTTAATTCATCTTGACTCTATTTCTTGTCTAGCACAATGCTATGAAAAAGAAGTGAAAAGTAAATTATTGTTTTTGGTTTTTATGACCTTTTTTGTCTTCCCATAACCGGGGACTGTAATGTGTTCTCTAGTATTCTTTCAAGATTATAAATTGCAGAGTGGACTATGATTGTGGCAGACAATTCCAGACCTTCTGGAACAACTGCAAAAGGTGACATAAACCTGTGGAATCTCAGAAGGGAAAAAATTCCTGAACAGTCTCAGAAACTGATCTTCAATGGTCAATGATTTGAGATATAGAAGATTAGACTTACCAAGTTTAAAAAGAGTCCCAGCACAAAAAAACTATCCAGTAAAATGTACACTCAATTTGGGTGAGAATGGGTCATTTCTTGTTTGTTTGTTGTTTTTTTTTTTTTTTGAGATAGGATCTTGCTGTGTAGCTCAGGCTGGCCTTGAACTCACTATGCAGCCCAAACTGGCCTTGAACTCAGGCAATCTTCCTGCCTCAGCCTCCTGAGTACTGGGATTATGGGTGTGTTCCAACATACCTGACAATGGGAATGAGTCACATTGGTACCTTTCTAGGCTCTTCAGGACTCAGAAGTCCCTGGAAATGAGTCATCAACAATGGAAAGCTGCTCTTTAGAATCTTCTAAAACAAGTCCATGAGGTTTTGATCTGCTAAACTTTAACCTAGACGAACAACATCCTTATTTCTCTCATTTTATGACAATTTCTTTGGCTATTTCTGTCAACTTAAAATTTAGCATGTAGAGTAAAAACCAGGCTGCTAAAAAAAAGACCAAAGTCGTTTTTTTCCATTTCTACTAAGAACTGATTTTGAGATGTACTCGAGGTAAAAGAATTTCCGGGAAACAAGTCTTTAGTGAAAAAAAGTGGGGCCTAGAGAATGTAAGGGGCGGTAAGATATTTAGGTCTGATCAAATTAACAAGCAGAGGCTACTTCTGAGCTTTCTGGCAAGGGAAATGGATATGCGTGATATGGAAGGAGACTCACTTAAAATACTATTTAATTTCTACATTGCCTTAACAATGTAGACTTTTTTTTTTTTTGGCACTGGGGATCGAACTTGGGCCCTTGCACTTGCACAGCAGGCTGCGAAACCACTGAGCTAAATCCCCAACCCCTAAAAATACTATTTACCAGGACTTTAGTCACAGCACTTTCCAGGAATCTAAAAACGAAACGAGGGTGGGGGAGCAAGATTTGGATATTTCCACAAGACTGAAGCAAAAAAACCTATTATTTCAGGGTTTAGGGCATAATGAAAATACGCTAAGAACCTGGTGGAAGTTAAATAACATTTTACATTGACAATAAAGCTTGTTTTTCATTTTTCACTGTAAATAAACGATACAATGAGAAGAACTACCCTTGACTGAATTTTTAAAATGACAGATGAAAAGAGTAAAGCAGGTCTAGAGAAGAAAGAAAGCAAAAACGGGAGGCGGGCCGCATTCGCCGCACTCGGACCCCACCTTCTCCCGGATCCAGGAAACAAAGCTCCGCCCAGGCGCTCCCCTGTAGTCCGCGTTCTGGACCCTCTTCCGCGCAGTTTGGTTCCGCCCTCCTCTGACAGGTCCGTCTAGAGGAAACGAGGCGGGACTTCCGGCTTTTGAAAAACTTCCGGCGGGAACCGGAAGATGCGGTAAAACACAGAATCCCGGGTCCACTGACGAGCCGGGCGCCAAGGTGAGCTGTGCTTCCGCCTCGGCGGCGTCCTGCGGGCGCACCCGAGCCTGCGTCCGGGCTCCGGTATTTTTGGGGCCATTTAAAAAGTTCAGACTGCAAGTATGGGAAATAATGGCCCTTTTTAAAAATGAAAAGTTTTATTACATTTTTCAGCGGTTGTTTCTCAACAACCTCCACCCGGAAACATCCTTTCTGGCTGCCACATGTCATCTGGCGCGTCTTCTGTCTACTTGAAGCAGCTCTTATGGATAGGGCAGATAGGGGAAAGCCGGGGCAAACCTAGATTGTTTTTGTACCTGAAAGGATCAGAGATGGGGGAGGAAGCACTTTTGTCACTCTTCTGATCGTGGTTCTGTCTGCATCAACTGCATCTTCAGCAGGGCGTCTAGGAGGCGCTTGAATAACTGTTGAGGAAAGGACTGAATGGAACTCTACGAAGCTTTCCTAGAACCTCCCCAGGACAGCCTGTCGTTAATACGATGCGTGTGGAATGGGAAACAAAGCTAGTTTTGGTGTTTGGGGTTCTAGGTTCTGTTCCTTTGCCATGCATCTCCTCTCTCTGAGTAAATCATTTCACATCATTTGAGTCTCACGCCTCTCGTAAAATAATACAGCAAGGCTCTCTGATCTCAGAGGCTCTGCAGCTCTCGAATTTTGTTCTTATGACTTGAGAATCTGTGCTAACATTCCGAGTACTTCTGTTCCTTACTTCAGAGAAACTTCTTTAAGTGCCTCTTAAGTTGTTTTGTCCACTGTCCTTGAAGTTTTAGGTTCTCTTCCATATGTGTGTGTGTGTGTGTGTGTGAGACCTGTCCTTTTCTCCCTACTTGCCCTGGTTTAGTACCTTCTCCCTTCGTAACATCACAGCAACCTCCAAATTATTGATTTGGAATATGCTCATATGCCTACAAAGATATCTTGCAAAAGGGAAAAATACGAAGAGTCACTAAAGAATAGCGATGTTCTTAAGTGTCATCACCTTTTCAAGAGATCAATGTATGGCACAGGCTAATAGTGATGGAAAATAAATTTTACATTCTTCTGTAGAGACCATATTTGTATGTATTCTTATGTTTAATAGTTTTAGAGCAGCCATTAAGTGCAAGGCTTTGTATGATATGGGAGTAAGGCAGATGCGTTCCCTTCATGTTAATGAATTAAGGGGGATTTGGAGAATAAACAAGTAAAATAATTTTAGATTATGTTACATACTACTGTGTAAAAAATAGAGTTCTTTTAAAATACAGTATGGCCAAGAAACTCATTTGAGGCCTAAAATGTTGAGATCTGAGGAATGAGACACATTTGATGAGCAGGGAAGAGAGCTCTAGGTAGAAGAAACCTGAAGTGGGAAAGAATCATGCTTGTTGCAGGCACTGGAAGAATTTAACTAGAGCTGAGGAGCTATAGCAAGTGATGAACTGATGAATGTGGTTAAAAAGAGGGCAAAGATAATTTGTGTCTTGATTGCAGGATGAAGTGGGAAGTCATTGATTTTTTTTTTTTTCTACCAGGAATCGAACTCTGGTCCTTGTGCTTGTGCAGCAGGCGGCGAAAACACTGAACTAAATCCCCGGCCTGTCATTGATGTTTTTAAAGCTTTTTTTTTTTTTTTGGTATTGGGGATTGAACTCAGGACCTTGTGCTTGCAAGGCAGGCAACAGAACCACTGAGCTAAATCCCTGGCCCTTTAAAGCATTTTCTAAATGATCTTTTGGTTTGCTGTGTAGAGAATGGGCTGTAGGGACAAGAGTGGAAGCAGGGAGGGTAGGTAAAGTACTATTGGCAGTAGTCCAGATGAGAGATGGGGACTGCTGTGGTTTGAGTATGTCCCTCAAAAGTTCACAAGTTAGAAACTTAATTCCAAAATTTGTATGTTGATGGTATTTGTGACTTACTAATAGACTGGCTTTGGGAGATGAAAGAAACAAGATTGCAGTGTTTTTGGCTTAGCAAATGGAACTTTGGAGGGTAATAGGTATGTTCATCACCTTGATTATGTGTATGTGTGTCAGAACTTATCACACTTTCAACATGTGCATTGTATTGCACACCAGTTGTTGAAAATTTTCCCAAGGTTCTGGCTTAGCAAATAGATGAAGGGTGGTACCATTTACTGAGATGGGAAAGATTCGGGTAGGAATGAGTTTTAGGCCAAGGAGTAGTTATCTAGAGTTCTATTATGATGTGGTAAATTTTACATAACTGTGCGACAGCTAAGTAGTTTCAGAGGGAGGCAGTTTATTATGTAAATCTGAATCTTAAAGGCATGGAGGGATTAAGATCGTTAATAAGTAGATGATGTACGTATAGTTATGATGATTATTGGTGATGGATATATATATGACAGAAGTTGGTCCCATAAGATTATGTCCCCTGTTGATGTTGTGGCCGTCTTTAATTTGTGTAGGTACACTATGATGTTTGCACAATGACAAATCACCTAATGACACATTTCTCATCATATGTCCTTGATGTTTAGCTATGCGTGACTTTATTTAAAACATGGAAATGGATGAGATTTTGCCTAATATAACAGGTTTTATGATATGAAGTAAGAGGATCTGGGAGGAGTGGAAATGGAGAAACGAGGCCTTAAGAACATAGGTCTTTATATTGGAGGATTCATCTGTACCTCCGTCATGGATAGTTTTTAGGAATAATTAGTAGCTGTCAACTATATACTCTTTCTCAAATTAATCTATCTGAAATTGACCTGTGTGTTCATGTAGAGTCTCCTTTCCTACCTGTTCTTTAACACTCATATTTTTTCCTGCTTGTGAAAAAAAATACTTACATCTTACTCAGTTTTCCGTGGTACGTTGCCCCCACTGTTCCTAATAAAGGGGCAGTTGGAAATACTTGTTTTAGGGAAGCCTTTTCTTAAGGCTAATAGTTAATCAAAACAAAAGCCTGTTAAGGGTTTGTCTTTCCTACTTTTAAACACATTTCTGTTAAGGTGTAGGTGTGGAGATAGAATTGGTGTATGGAGGTATGTGAGAGAATGTTTTGAATTGAGATACAGTAGTTTCCCCTACTTGGAGAAATTTTTTCAACACCCCCCAGTGGATACCTGGATGGTATTGAATCCTATATGTACCATAGTTTTTCCTATACATACATACCTGTAATAAAATTTAATTATGAATTAGGCACAGTAGCACAGTAAGAGATTAATAATAGTTATATAGAACAGTTATAACAATGTCTTATAATAAAATTGCCAGTCTTAACTACTCTTGTTCTTTGGGCCATTATTAAATAAAATAAAGGTTACTTAAACCCAAACACTGCCCTATGGTGACAGTTGATCTAACAGCTTTGATGGCTGCTAAATGACTAATGGATGGGGTTAGCATATACATCATGGATACACTGAACAAAAGGATGATCATGTTCTCAGCTGGATGGCGTTGGGTGGAGATTTTGCCATGCTACTTAGAAGAATATGCAGCTTAAAGCCTATGGATTGTTTATTTTTGGAATTTTCTGTTTAATATTTTCAGACCACTGTTGACTGAGAGCAAGTGAAACTATAGAAAGTGAAACCTTAGATAAGGGAGGCTACTGTATATTGTAGATTGGAATGGTGAGAGTGGTTGTAAGGTGATCTGGGTGCGTTGTTCAGTGGTGGATTTTGCTCTGGGAATGGTCAGATTCTCCACAGAGAGGCCTTCTCATTCTCCTCCATAAAGGGTAAGGATCTGACTGGTGGTGTTTGGGGTCTTAGTGGAAGATCAGTACTGGGGGACTCTGCATTATCATTCAGTCTGTATGGTTCCCATGCATACTGTTGCAGTTGGTGTCCTCTAGTATAGGGTCTCTAATTTTACCGACTCTGGAGAATACACTTCTAGGCTCTTTCCTGGCGCTGTTGCATCATGTGGGGTACTCCTTTGTGTCAGACACTTTATACCCAACCCCAACCTTGGTTCAAAAGGTATCAGTGACTACTACTGTGATTTTTGTTGTTGTTTTGTTTTTGTTTTAAGGAGATTTCAGGGTAAATTGGTTTGGTTCTCACATATTCCCATTACTGTCTTGGAATTTTAAATTTTATATAGTAAAACCTGTTAATTTCTTGGGATTTGGAATTTAAAGTTATACCTAGGAAAACCTGAATTCCTTTGCATCTACTCAGGATTATGAAAAACATCATCTTGTTTTTTTGTAGTACTTTTGTAGTTTTATTTTATGTATTTTAAAATCCGTTATTTGAAACATATTTTTGTTCTTGATGTAGAGATAGAAATTGAACACTTGTTTTCCTTCAGAGGAATAGCTGGTTATCTCAGTACCACTCACTGGATAATCCATTCTGCCCTGCTCTGGTTTGAATTGCTACTTGTTATGGTTTAAATCTAAAAGGCTCCCCTTCTTATGTTTAGAGGTAGAGCCTGGGAGGAGGGGGTGGGTCACTGGGTAGAGGGATACCTGGAAGGTTGTATTTTATGCCCAGCTCCTCCCTTCTTACTCTGCTTCTTGGCTGTCGTAAGTTGAACAGCTTTCCTTCACCATACCCTTTTACCATGCTCTTTCTGCCTTCGAGCCATGTTACCATGGACTGAACACTCTGAAAGCTGTGAGGCAAAATAAACCTCTCTTCCTTTAAGTTGCAGCTATCAGATATTTTGTCATAGTGATGGGAAAGTAGCTAATACCCCACCCCTGTCAAACACTAACTTCCCCTGTTTTGTTTGGTTGTTTTGTTTGGTTGGTTATAATATATAACTGGCTTGGGAACTTGTTTAAGGGTCCAAGCATGTCCACATAATGCAATTTGACTCACATTTTTTAGGTAGGAAATCTTATCAACGTAAATAAATTTATTTATTTCCTGAATTATTTGATTCTTGCTATTTGTCTTATTTTTTTTAGAGCTGAGGCTTTCCATCTGCTAAATATTTTTAGTAGCATGGTGATTAATTGCTTTAGTTAAGTATTAGGAACTTTTATTATAAGAGGTTGCTTATCTTGTTTTAGGGATAACATTGCTGCATATTCAATAAACATCAATTATTTGACTGTCAACTTTGTAGAGATACCTCCACTTATTCTCTAAGAAGATTTAGAAGAAAAATGTTGCTTTGATAGTTTATAATTTGGTAACTGATAGCATCATCATCAGCTAATACTTGGAGAATACTCAAGCGTGTAATTCTAGAATACCTAAGAGTTGTTACTCTGTGGGAGCTTATATTTTTCAAAAGATGATCCATACACATAAAGCATTTAAAACTTTTGGTAGGCTATTAACTGCTTTCTCTTTTTCGTTTTGTTTTGATTTTTGATATTGAGGATTGACAGAACCTTTATTTTTTATTTAGAGACAAGGTCTTGCTAGGTCGCTAAGTTGCTCAGGCTGGGCTCAAACTTATAATCTTTCTGCTTCAACTTTCCAGAGTGCTGGGATTACAGGGATGCACCACCAGGCCTGGTCATTAGCTGTTCTTTTAACTGACATCTGTATAGGGGGGTAAACCAGTGTTAAGGTTTGGGAATAAACCTCATATTTTTTCTGTGGGATTTCTAGCGGCAGAACTATTGAACCATGAGTTCTAAACAGCAACCATTTTGTAGCCAGCTGAAGCAATCAGACTGTTCCAGCCATGCTGACGTCGTGTTCTCTCTCTTCCAGATGTCATTGCCAAGAAGAGCAAAAATACAGGTCCAGACTACAGTGTCCAAAGATGAATTTTCTTACTTCTCTGAGCTGTAAGCATATTTGTTTACTGTAGTGGTGGGGAATGGTGAATATTTTAAGAAGTAAGGCATTTTTTTTTTTAGAAGTAAGGCATTTTGTCACAAGCTTTGAAATCACTGGAGTGAAAGAACACCATGCCTTTTTCATTCATTCATACAAGTATTTGTTGAACTCATGCTGTGTCCCAGGCTCTAATGTTGGTAATAAAATGTTAAGTAAAGACAGAAAGTAACCAACTAAGTAGATAGCATATTTGTACCAGAACTTAAGTTCCATGAGAAGAGGTTTTTTTTTTCATTGCTTTAGTGCAGTAGTGCTCAATCTGCACCATCGTGTGCAGGATAATTCCTTTTTTTTTCTCCATTAAGTTTATTGGTGTGGGTCTGTCTTTTGCCATGTAGGGTGTTTAGTAGCATCCCTAACCTCTACCCACCAGACGCCAGTAGCATCTCTTCTAGTTATGACAATGAAAAAGACTTTAGACGGTGCCAGATGTGTGTGAGGGGGAACTGTTCCTAGTTGAGAATCTTTGCTGTAGAGGACCGTATTAGGTGCTCTTAAGGTATTTGTTAAATAAATGAGTGATTAATATTAGGTCAAAATAAGTATATAAAGAAAAATAAAGAGGGCACTGGTCAGAGAGCATGGTGCATAGTTGGCCAGGCTGTGGTAGTGGACAGAGTAGCCAGGGAGTTCTTTGGAGGATATGCCAAGAGGTTTGGGAATTGCAGTGATTGAGATAAGTGCTCCCCATAGGTCCATATATAAGGGCTTTGTCTCTAGGGTGGTGCTGTTGGGACGTTAAGGAGGTGAAGCCCAGGGTGAGATCCTTAGGTTGTTGGAGACGTGTCCTCCAGGGGGACTGTGGGACGCGGGCCTGTCTTCTTTTTCTTTGTTGTAGCCTTGATGTGAACACTTGCTCTGACATATGCTTCTGCCCTTGCCATCTCTTACCCTCATGAGAGGCTCAGAATTATGGGGCTGCCTGATCTCAGACTTGCAACACCAAAACTCTGAGATAAATAAACCATTTCTCTTTATTAAATTAGTTGTTTCAGGTATTTTGTTGTAGTGATGTATAGCTGACAAACACAGAAGTGAAACTCTGTGCAAAGATCTCAGGGATTAGTATTCTGTCTTAGTTACTTTTTCTTATTGTGGAGACAAAATGCCCAAAACCCAAAGATAAAGGAGGAAAGGTTTATTTAGCTCACATTTTATAGAGATTTTCAGTCCATAATCGGCTGGCTTCAAGGCAGGGTGGCATGGTAGACAGGCATCACAGAGGAGAAACAGTTCATGGTGGGCAGAAGAAAAAAGGAAGCAAGACATAAGCAACAATAGTAGCTTCTTTCTGCCTCTTTTATGTTCTATCCAGGCTACCGGGCTTAGGGAGGGTGCCAAACCAATCAGTGGACTAATTTAGTAACCACCTACCATTACTCCCATCATCACACATTCTAGATCCAGCCACCTCTGAAAAAGCCCCACCTACAACTGCATGAGGCTTGGGGGGACATCTAGACACAAGCCATAACATGTTCCAAGTAGAGGGAGCCGCAAATGCAAAGATCTTGAGGCAGGAAAGAGTTTGATATGTTCAGGGAACAGCAAGGAGACCAGTGTGGCCAGTTCAGAGTTATCAAGGCAGAGAGTGATAGGAAATGAGATTGGAATGGGTAGGATCTAAGAAGCTGTGAGAAGGTGCTAGGGTTTTATTTGAAGTGGGTTAGGAAGCCACTGGAGGGTTGTGACTTGATTTGGTTTACCTTTGTAAAATGTTCTGGCTTCTTGACAGAGAATAGACTGTGTATGTATGTAGAATAGAAGCAGAGGAGTGGGGTAGGTTAAGGAAATGATTGTAGAAACCTAGGGTTCTAAAAGTGAAAATGGTGGGAAATGGTCTAATTTGGGATGTGTTTGGAAAGTAGAATTGACAGGTCAGGATGGTGATTGGTTACATTTGGGGTGTGAAGGAAAGACTGGCATTTTGGGAAGACTAGAAAAGGAATGGGTACACCAATAAATGTGGTGGAATCACGAGTCCTTTTCTGGCCTTGGTGAGTTTGAGGTGATTGCTGGACATCCACGTGAAAGTGGATATACAAGTCTTAAGCTCAGGGGAAAGGTCAAATTGGAGACAGAAAACTGAGATTCCAATACTGGACCATAAGACGAGATGAGCTAGCAAGAGAGCTAGAAGAAAGGAGAGGAGAGGGCTGAGGACTTTGCCTAGGGAGGTTCCAATGTTTACAGGTTAGGGAGTCAAAGGGACTAAGTGGAAACTGAGCCAGTAGGAGGGAAACCAGGTGTTATGGTTTGTGTTTAGATGTCCCCCCAAAGGCTTGTGTGGATGAGGTGGGACTTTCTTCTTCAGAGGTAGTTGAATCTGGAATGTGTGATTCTGGGGTTAAAGGCATGTGATTACTAAACTACTATACATGAGTGATTAATTTGGCACTGCCTAATCCTGGTAGCCTGAATAAGATGAAAGGAGCAGAAAGATTCTGTTAAACCCTCTCTTGTTGCCTTTGCTGCTTTGTGTGTGCCTTGTGTTGTTTCTCCTCTCAATGCTTGTTTGCCATCCCAGCCTCGGAGCCAGCTGATTATGGACTGAAATCTCTACGAACTGGAAGCCAAATAAACCCCTTGGCCTCCAACTTTGGGTGTCAGGTATTTTGTCTCCGCAACGAGAGAAAAGTAACTAACACACCAGGGGAATGGGTTTCCCAGAAGGCACATAAAAGACACCCTTTTGGGGGAGTGTCAGAGCTCACCCATGATGAGGAATGAGAGTTGAGTAGCAGCCTCTGAACTGTTTCCTGTGTAACAAATGATTCCAGCACTTGTGTTTTGTTCATAGTAAGGAAAGCCCTTTGCTTTTGGTCACATACCCATATGACATAGATTAGTCAGCACACCTGCTTGATAGGTGGTGAGTCCGAGGTGGAAAGAGGCCTTCTTGCTTGGTTTGATAATAATAGGAGGGAACCCCGGTTTTCTCATTCTGGCTCCTTTATAGCCCACTGCTGTTGTGTTCTTTTGTTTTTTGCTTAGGCTTAGGCTTAGGCTTAGCATTTGCCTCTGAAGAGAATTCACTTTGAGGAGGTCAGTAGTTTGGCCCTTCATAATTATGGTTTCCTAGCTAAGAAGTTATCCAATCAGGTTTTTATCTTCAGGAAAAACTTAAACCATTCGAAAACCTGACATCCCTATTCACTAGTCTCCATGAAGGAAGAGGTCATCTTTCCCACCAACATTGACCTCTTACATTAGGGTAGAATTAGGATTAACTGGGCTGTCAGGAGAACAGTATTAAAGATTTCTTCAATACAATTCACATGGCTGCTTTTTCGCTGCTCTTTTTTTTTTTTTTCTCTTGAAACAGTCTCCCTGTGTAGCCCAGGCTGGCCTTGAACTCAAGATCTTCCTACTTCAGCCTCCTGAGTGCTGAGTTTAGAGACATGCACCCCTGATCCTGGCTTTTTTTCCTCTGCTCTTACTGTGAATTTGATTTGTGGTTAGGGAAATATGGTGGCTGTACCTGATCAAATCTAATCAGGAGACAAATTTATTCTCTGAAAGGAAAAAAAAGGGTTAATAAAAACAGCTGGGTCTTGGTGATGGATTTTTATGTAATTTGAGGTTTTTCCTAGAGCCCCTTTCTACTAATTTCATTGACTTGAATAACTTAGTACAATTTATATGATCTGATTAGGACTTAGGCACTTACTTAAGTGTTCTTCATTATTAAAATTGAAAGCTCACATTGACTGTGGTGTGAGATGTTACAGTTGAATAGACCAATAATAGTCCAGGTACTGTGTACGCTGAGGAAAGAATCGCCAAGCTTATACCCAGTAGTCAGTAGCTATGTTTGTTGAAGATCACGGGAGAGGTAGCAGTAGCAACAGGAAAAGGGGGAAAAAGGGCCAATAACTCAGGCTTTCAGAATTTGAAGGCCAGGCACCCCTGGCTTTAGGTACCTCCCACCGAATCTGTCTTGGTGCTAGTGCAGTGCCACCTAGGGTATGGCATCTGTTTGGTGTTTGTTACTTCATCTTGTACCTCTCTTAGGATAATCGGAGCAGGAATAATTGTGCGGTGGTGTTTATAGTTAAATGGAGGGAAGGGAGTGCTCTCAACTTCTTTGTTTCTAACTGTACTAACTTGACCCAATTAGTTACTTAAAGCACTAAATGATTTCCTGCATCACAAGGGAACGTGACTTGCTATCAGTTAGGTGACACAAAAGTGAAGAGACTTAGGCTAGAGCATTTTTATCTTGGTCTCTGATGAACCCTGTTGTTTTAATTCTTAGTAGTAACTTCATGGATTGTGCTTATTCACTCCATTTTTATCTGAAATACTTCTGACTTTATTGTTACTATTATTATTTCTTAAGAAGGACGTGTCTTTCTTTTCCACCTATGACATTTGCTTTTGCTTTTCCTGGAAATTCTTCTGTCAATTTGATGCTAGGTCATCTGCCTCTGAAGAAGATGACAAAGAAGATAGTGTTTGGGAGCCTCAAAAGAAAGTCCCTAGAGCCCGGAAGCAGCCTGCTGCCAAGGAATCCAAGCCAAAGAGGATGCCTCGGGGGAAGAAGAACATAACACTGAAGAGTGGTGGCTCAGAGGGCGTGGCTGTTAAGGAGGAGCTGGTAGGTGCTGTGGCTTGGTAGGAGGAAGGCTGAAGGGTTTTCCTAATTGGGGGTGTTACTTCCTCCTTACACAGAGTAGGACAAAACATGTAAATGATGAAAAATACAGGGCAGTGGTGTCCTTTGTCATGGGTCTGAATAATACCCTTAGATTCCACTGTGTTTTTTCATCTGCTTTCTATTTCCTCTCCTGTGTGCTGGGTTAGGTATGGCAGTAGTGGTAATGATGGCAATATTAGTACATATCTGAGTACTTAGCTGAGCAACAGTCTCTGCATTTTTTATATGATCTTAATCTTTGCAAGAACTATTGGGGCAGATTCTCTTGTTATCTTGACTGTACAGATAAGAAAGCAGTGGCAAGAGATGTGTATGTAGTGACTTGCTTGCCACACACATACAAGTGAGGGAGCTGGATTTCCAGGTCAGCATTTCAGGAACTGGTAGACCTCTCATGGGTGTTTTTACATCAGCCATGGTCACAAGAGTGATGTATACAACTAGGGTGCTGGTTTAATAATTAATACTTCGAAATAATCATCACAAGCACTTGAAATTCTTGTGACCAGCACTTTCTCTCCTTGGAGGCTGAACTAAGGAAATTAAATGTGAATCAGAACTTTGCTTGATGAACATGGACTCAGAATAGGAGAATTAGATATGTTCATCTGGGTTTATTGAAGGCCTACTGTGGTGTAGGTGCTGTGTTTGTCACAGTGACAGTAAATGTTTTAATTGCGCAGAGCTAAGGTAATCTGAAGTATCCATCTCAGAGTAGGGTTCTCTTACCATGGGGAACAAAATACTCAGACTCTATTTGTTGAGATTTTTTTCTTTATTGCACATTACTTATGAGGTGCTGATTGTATTTGATTTTTTTCCTACTTCTTGCTTTTCTGCTCCTCTGTGGCTGACAATTCCCTGTATGATTGACACATTCTTTCTTTAGTTGTACCAATTCATTTGGTTAAGTTATTATCAATTCTTATGTTCTCAGTGTTATATTTCTATCTCTGTTCTTTTGTTTTTTTGATACAGAGTCTTGCTGTGTAGTGTAGTCCAGTCTGGCCTTGAGTTCACTATATAGCCCAAGCTTACCTTGAACTTGTGACCTCCTGTTTCAGTCTCTACTGGGATTACAGGCATGTGCCATTGTATCCAGCTCCTATCTCTGTTCTGGTCTATTATGTTTCAAGTAAAATATTTAATATTCAGAGGGCTATCTAGTATGCATCATTTTCGTGCTCACATGGGGGTAGTGGTAGGTGGGCATTAGAGTGAGAATGGTCTTATGGTAGTTCTCTCTTTTTAGGTTTTGTTTTTTGGGGACAGGATCTTGCTGTGGAGTGCAGGCTGGCCTTGAATTCACTATGTAGCCTAGGCTAGCCTCAAACTTGTGGTGATCCCCCTGCCTCAGCCTGCCCAGTGCTGGAACTACAGGCATGTGTCACCACGCCCGGCTCAGGGCAATTGTTTTTTTTTTTTTTTTTTGTCCTGGGAATCGAACTCGGGTCCTTGCACTTTTGGGGCAGGTGGCAGAACCACTGAGCTAAATCCTGGCCTTGCAATTGGTTTTTAATCCTCTAATTGTCATGTTTTTCTGTGGTTTGATAGAATAGGTCTATAGCTATTGCTGATGTTGATTTGGAAGAGAATAAATTGAATACTGCACAGACTCTGAAAACAGCAAAGACAAAACAGAAAAATTCAGCTCAAAGGATGAAAAAGCTTAAAGTTGATGAAGAAACCAGCGAAGTGAGCAACTTAGCGGGTGAAAGTAACAGTACAGAGATACCATCAACCAGCACCATGGTGGAAGGTGTCTGCAAGAAGGAGGAGAATGAAGACGACTTCACATTTGGCCAGTCTCCATTAAAGAGAATGAAGACGGAAATGTGTCCTCAGGGGCAGCCTGTCAAGTTTCCAGCAAGTGCCAACACTATTAAAGAGGAGGTAGAAATGAATTGGGACATAGTACAGGTATGTACAGCCATTTCCTGTTACTTTAGTTCATTTCTTTCTTTCTTTTTTTATTTTTCGCTACTGGGGAGCGAACTTGGGTCCTTGCGGTTGTGCAGCAGGTGGCGAAACCACTGAGCTAAATCCCCGGCCCTAGTTCATTTCTTTCTTTTTGATTATTATAGAAGTTATGCTGACTAAAGGGAAGGTTGGGAGTTTTCAGTTTTGCTAGTGAGTTTTGGTACCAGGGATCGAACTCAGGACCTTGCGCTTGCAAGGCAGGTGCAGTGCCACTGAACTAAATCCTTGGCCCTTGCCAGTAATTGCTTAAGGCTTTGGCCATGTGTTATTTTCTTGGATATACTGTTTTGTTTTATGGCTTATTATCATGAGTTCTTGGCTAAGAGCTGTGACCTCAAGTCACAGTCAAGGCGGGTCTTTGTGCATGTGATAGTGAACTTTCTGTGGTGTAACAAATTCCTGAGATAAATAAACTTAGGAGAAAAGGTTTATTTTGGCTCAGGGGTTTGGAGGTTTTAGTCCATGGTTAGTTTAGTCCCATTGCTTCCTGGGCCTGTGTCTAGGCAATAAATCATGGTGGGAGGGCATATTGGAGAAATGTGCTTCATGGCAGCCAGGAACCAAAGAGAGTAAGAGGAGGGCCAAGGTCCCACTGTGTCCTTCCAGTGGCCTAAGACCTCCCAGTAGGCCCCACCTTTTGAAGATTTCTTCACCATCCAGTAGAGCCACAGATTGGCAACTAAGCCTTTAACATATTGGCCTTTGGGGAAAGCCCAGACTCAACCACAGCACACATAGGCCATGCAGACAGATTGTACCAACAGATTGGACCTGCATAGGTTTATTAAATTTTTGCTTTGAACATGGGCTGTATTTCCCTATGAAAGTAGTGCAGGAGATTAGCTTATTGCTTGATCATGCATCTCTTTAACTCTTAGTGTACTATAGTGAACAAGGCCTTGCAATTTTTTAAACTAAAACTTTGAAAGATTTTCAACTTGAGGTGCCAGAATGGTATTTCTTGTAAGAGAGGACATTGAATTTCTACCCCCACCCCTCCACTCCCTGCATTTTTTTAAGTAGAATCATTTTATTAACAAAAGGAACCCACAGGGTTCAAACAAGAGTACAAAATACAATCTTTTTTTTTCTTGTGGGTTAAACTGTTACACTTTTAACAAAAATAAAAAAAGCTCTCATAGTTAACTTATCAAAAACATATTCCCTGCCTACTGAGTTTCTTATTGTGTAAAACAAAAACATTGAAAGTAAAATTTTACTCAGGGAATGAAAGTTTGTGTGCCAAACAGTGCACATTTTCTTTTTTCTTTTTTTTTTTTTTTTTGGTACCGGGGATTGAACTTGGGTCCTTGAGCTTGTGTAGCAGGCGGCAAAATCACTGAGCTAAATCCCCGGCCCCACATTTTCAATTTCAAACTTTTTGCATCCAAAGGAAAGTTCTAAGGCCACTTTTTTTCCTCAAACTAAACAAGAGCAAGAGAGAATAAAGAGGAAAATAATAGCAGCTAAATTTTTTTCTTCATTCATAGATTTTCTGTGTGCCAGTGTAGTTCTCCACATTCATAAAATGATATTATGATTATAAAAAAGGTATGCAGTTTCAACCTATTGCTTATGGTCAGGCATATGGATAGTATCAAGTCATACCTGTGACCTAGTCTCTTAAATGTTAATTTTGCTGGGCAGAGTTCATAATTACTCTACTCAAGAAGATAAAGTAATCCTAGTGAAGGATTCCAGTAAGTGGTTGCTTTTCTATGTGGAACCAAATAATTAAACTTCCTCTCTGTCCATACTGTTTGAGTTTTCTTTTTTTTCCCTTTGTATTGGTTTTGTGGATATGGATGATGTCCTGACACGGCATGTAAACTATAGCGTGAAGTCAAATAGCTGAAGATGAGCTGTTCGGACAGCACTTAAATACACATACCTATTTAAAGACATACAAAAAAACAAAGCAAAGTAAAAGACCTTTAAAAACTAAAGCAAGGAATAAGTTTTGTGAAGACTGTACCACAATCACTGGTATGACCATTATACACTGTGATTTTAAATGGTGGCTTATAATGAAAGAAATGTGTTTGATGTTTCATGGTCACAGAAATGAGAAGTACATCCAGGGGATAAAAAGCACACATTCACTTAATGTTTGTAGAAAAATCCCTGATCAAATGGCCAACTGATTTTTAAATACAAAACTTAACTGTATAAGAATTTTTCTATTTCTTTCTTTTTTGGTACTGGGGATCGAACTGAGAACCTTGAGGTTTTGAGGCAGGCAGTGGCACCACTGAGCTAAATCCCCAGCCCAGAATTTTTCTATTTCTAAGTGAACACATTTACTAATTACTTTATCAAATGGAAAACAGTATCTGCCTGGGAAGCACCAGGGTTTCTGGATCAAACCCTTAAGAATCAGCTGGTCCAGAATTTCAAATATGGGAATCCCTACTTCCCTTTCACTTAGTGTCCAGGAATGTTCTCAGCTTACAACACTAACAGATCGATGGAAAAGCCAGTGAGCATATGACCATGAATAGAAGGGGAGAGGGGACAGTACAAACACTGTTGAAACTTCGAGCAGCAACACAGTCTTGCTGGTCTGAATATCCTGAGGTTAAATGATAACAAAACATTGCACCAAAACAAAAAAGGAAGTCACAGTTTAAATAGAATTACTAAAAATTGGAATAACAGTGTATTTGCATTTTTTTTGTGTGTGGGGGGGCTGGCTTTGGGGATGGTGGAGAGGACCAGGACAGTGGCTCCTGAATAGTGATTCTTAGCTTTTTGTCTGCCCCAACACATTTTGGAACCATTTCAGAGTAGATGGCAGTGACCTTCCTCCCTGATGTCTGTCTTATGAGGGTTCTGATATGTACTTGCTTCAAGTTGCTACTGTACATCCTATGGTCTCTGGTGAATTCTAATAATACTACTCAGTCTGGAGCTGTCTGTCACCATTTTTCTTTGGAGGAATGTTGCTTTACAAGTGTGACTTTTTTTTATTACCTACTAGCAGAATGTCACCAGTAATTTTTTTTTTTTTGTATGGGGAATTGAACTTGGGTCCTTGTGCTTGCGCAGCAGGCGGCAACCACTGAGCTAAATCCCTGGCCCTTATCAGTAATTTTTAATCATAAGTTTTCTTCTCTCTGGTCCACTAAGCAATAAATAGAAAGGTACCTCCTAACTTTTCTGTCACTCTTGTTTCTGGACTAAATAGTCCAAATATCTTGCAGAAACAGTATAATTAGGGTCTTTTTATGCCTTCATTTTCTTTATTCATTTAGACCTGCAATTCAGTGTTTTCAGATTGTGTATCATGGATTACTTGTACTAGATTTACCCTGAAGGCTTTCTGAAAATGCTGAGTTCTTGGTCCTGGATCAGACCTACAGGGGCAAGTGAACATGTCCCACCTCCCTCTTCTTGTTCTTTACTAGTACTTGTAAGCTCTTTCCTCTTGTTTACATAGATTCACCTCTGGTAGTTGACAGTGTGCAGGAGGAAGGGAGGGAAGTTTCCAAGACTATGAAGTCTCTGGTCTTTGAGACTTGGTCATAAGTTATTCATATTTAAAGTTAGGAGCCATTTACTCTGGAACAATTTGCTTCCCACCCTATCCCCTAGACTTTATTACAAAGAAAGAGATGAAAAATACCCTTGTCAGTCCTTTGTCCTTAGGTTTTTATAATAGAAATTTATTTCTAATGAGTTTAAGCAGAAAAGAGTTTATTTTCAAAGATATGGGGGTCTTTCAGAGGACAAAAGGAACAGAATATGATTAAATGTTCCAAAGGACATGAGCCAGAAATTAGAAAACCAGGAGGACTTGGAGAACCTACTCCCAGTTCTCTTCTCTGGAACCTTAGGATCGCCATTTTTTTTTTTTTCCCACCCTTCCCTATTTACAAAGACTTTGTTTCCATTTTTTCCTTTTCTTACGTTATTTTTCTTTTCCCTTCTTTCCTTTCCCCTATCCCTCTCACTTCCCCTACTCATTTAGACCTTTTCTTCCTATTTCAATTGCCAGTTACACATTTTTTTTTCAGTTACACATTTTGATCCTTATATACACTTTTAGTTTTTCACACCAGAGAAACTATTCACTATTTACATGTTTGTCCTATTTATTTCACTTAAGAGTATGGCCTCAATGTGCATCCATTTAGATATAAAGGTCTAGTTTCTCATTCTTTATGGCTGAGTAGTACTCCATTTTATATTAAAAAAAACACATCTTCTTTATCCAGTCTCCAGTTGATGGGCAATTGGGCTATTTCCAAGCTTTAGCGATTACAAACTGTGCCACGATAAACATGGGTGCATATATATCGCTGTGGTATGATGCTTTTAATTCTTTGGGGAAGATACCCAGCAGGGGAATAGCTGGGTCAAATGGGACTTCTAATCCTAGTT